GGGCACGCTTCGTCCGCCGCCTATTCGTGACCGCGACTCTAAACGCCTCATGCATACAGCTTGCGCTTACTGCTGAAAATAATACATTGTGGGACTTGCGATCGGTACTTTTTATGCTCGAACACGTCACTGATAATGAAACCTAATACAAAGATAATAGGCTTATTATTCTATCACCAGTTTATTCTGAGTACCAGTTTAATGGTGTTGGTCGCTATAAGAGTGTTTTAAAACCATCGGTTTGTAATTATTGATATAACTCTTATTTTCAGGGCAGGCAAAAACGGACAATGACCCAAAGTATTATGTGAGCGTTGAAAGTCTACGATACGTATTGTCGTCGATAGAACTCTATCGTTGCCCGTTTTTTGCCTTCCCTGGTAAATAAAAAAAATACACTAAGCTTCCTATTCATTCATTAAATATTTAAGCAGATTGCTATTTTCGTCAAGGTTGCCAGTTGCTACTACAACCTTCAAATTTTTTAAAATTGTAATGTGGAAGTGCCTTCAGGGATTTATTTAAAGATAACCTCTTCCTGTTGGCTGCGATCCAAAGGGGTATCCCCACGATATACCAGACGATATAATAATTATGGACTTTGATATGGGTTAATGTGTGTCTACCGATGTCTGTCCGTATTAATGTTTCATTCATGATTTTCTCCTTATTACTTTCCTTCGTCTGCGCTTCCCCAAAGATGTAGGTGAATGTCACATTGCGCTCTGATTTGTGTAAGTTTGTGTGTTTATAGTGTAGTTGTCGACCCACAGCAATCAAGCGTTTCTTGTTAGAAAGTGAGAGTTCCAAGTTTCTTGAGTTTCGCTATTCGTCTTCGTTGGATCGCCTGTCGTTTCAGGATTTGTGCTTCTCTATTTACATAAAGCTTTGCATTCTAATACGGAAATAGGGTCTTTTCTCAACTAAGATGAATTTCAACATGCTTAAAGTCTGGCTATATAAAACTAAAATGGATTTTAATATTTCGCGCCATCACACGTACAGATATAATTTAGTATTTATCATAATAGTCTAGTTTCAAAGTATCATCTAGGTTCTGATTTTGTTGTTCAACATGCTTTCTTTTCTTACATAGCGCATGCCATTTCATAGTAAAAGGGGGATGACTTGAGATAATAAATTACAAGTGCAACGATTGCGACCGCCAAGCAGGGATAAGGGGTCCGGGGAGGGGCCGACCATTTTAATGTCCCGACGCCAGACTTTATATTAAACATTCGACCTTGGCAATGGCCTACATCGACACCGGGACACGCACACACGCCCACTCTTCTCGTCACGAAAAGAAAAGTTCATTCAGTGTTTCGGCACTAGCTTTGTGTTATAAATAATATACGTGACGTATTTACACATCTAAGAGAGGTATTTAAACTTCTTATCGTCCTCATGTTCCAATGACTTTGGTTAAGGTCTTTGTCAATGTGCTTACGATCTATCTAATTGTATTTATCCTTATCTGTGTTTTGTTACATAATCGTTACAAACGGCCTTGACTTTATTGTATTCGTTGTTGATATCGTCAAACATTAATAATGGTGAATCATGTTTGTATTTTTATGGAAATGTGTATTTTAATTTTAATGTAATCTTTCCATTCATTTATATTTTTCATTGACAAATCGTTTTATGCCTCTACTGCGCAAAATTCGATTTGGCTGTTAACTACTGCAAATTACACTTTATTTTACAATGTGAAGAACTTTATCAACGCAAAATAGGGCAAATGTTTATATATCTAGAATTGGCAAACTTATTTAAGTAAGAAGTCCTTTGTAATATATTCAAAGTAAGAATTGTGAACGTTTTATGTTTTTTTTGTTGAAGATATGCCTACTTATCTTACTCTTACTAATGGTGAAAGTTTGTAGGTGTGGATGATTGTTACTTCTACATGCAACAACTGCTGAAAGGATTTTGATATTTGGTATGTATATATGTCTATGGCAATTATTCTTAACCTCGATTAATATATACTTTCTATCCCACAAAACGGTTCCTTAGGGATAGTAATACCATTAAGTCATCATGTAAACTACGCGTATGACGCCGCGGTCAAAAACCTAGCTATCGATAAATACTAAGACATTTTGACTTTTTTCTGCCAAACGTAAGCTCTGTCTACCAAGTACAAACTAAAAACTCTTCTTTGCAAAGTTTATTCAAGCTGATCAATTTTTTTGCTCTGATCATGTATCCGTATCATATCATAATTAGTAGTAGTGGTTAAAAAATATGTTATAATAAGGTAACCGTTATTGTTATTACGTGAAACGGGTGAGTAATGTGGGTCAGTGACGAGAACAGAGGCAGGGTCGAGATGCCATTGACGCGTCTTGCTTGCGTTGAATTACGTAACACTGCATATTGTGTTGGACGGACACAAAGGATACGCGTGGACTCTCTTGTGATAAATAGTAACTTACAATATCTTCGTCTGCTATTCTTCTAAATCGATTTATAATTCAAGAATCAAAACGAACATTTCGATATTCGGATGAAAGTGACTAGTTAAATCAGAAATTAGCGATCGATCTTATGGAAAATTGGATAAGCTTAGAAAAATATCCGTTTCTAGGAATCTTAAAACTTTTTTTTGTTTACCTAAAGCAAAATTTTGGTGACTGGTCTATCAATTGAGCTACAAGAGACATGAGATTGTCGGATTTATCAACTAATTAGGCAGTTATCAATCAATTAGTGATCCAATGTAGTAATTAGAGAGAGTTAATTAAAAAAACACCATTATCTTAGGTAAGCTATATAAATAAAGCATATCTGTATTAATTTTGTAAAATAAGGCACGAAGTTGCAACAAATGTAAACGCCTAACGAGGTCTTCACAACGTGTGTTGGAGCAGGTGTTCTTATTTTTCCATTCTTTTAAATGTAGCTACTCTCATAAGTGCTGCCTACTGATTCATACGGAATGATCATTATTCGAAATACAATTAATGTTACTGTGGTGTGGTCTTTTTATTAAGAATTTAAATTTAGTCTTTAGAAAATTCAGAACAATCTATTTATGTATTAGGAAAAGCTCGTTTACTATGTTTTCCGTTGACGATATCTTAAACTCCAAAAGATAGGAAATAATTTATCAGGGACATATAAATTTATATTGTATAATTTTCTATGTGTAATAGATAAGTTTTGTAGTATCGAGTGGCGTCAGTGCTCGTTTGCAGGTGTTCCTTGCCAGTATTAAACTGGTCGGGCATCCGGTCCGAGCCACACACAGCGTCCGACAGATGGCGTTACACGTACTTGCTAACTTTTGCGACATTTAAAATATGTATTGTATAGGATGAAGTAAGTATCCAAAGTAAATGCATAACATCGTTGCTGTTACATTTATGGAAATTGAACTATTATTAAAGCCATAGCAAGAATCCAAACAATTTTAATTGAATAAAAAAGGTAACTCTGAAAATGAGAATTTGTGTATAGATACGTTCATTTAATTTCATGATGACTCGCTAAAGTTATTAATTTGATATAGTGTTAGAGTGAATATCATAAAAATATCCTCACTATTTTCACACACACACACACACACACATACATATCTCTACTATTTCTGAAGGTAAATCAAGTTTTCATTGTTTCACACAGATTTCATTGTTGTTATTTACTTTAAGAACCCACTCGAGCAAAAATTATATTACAATAAAGGCCTTAAGACAAATTGTCTAATTACGGTTTGTTCCAGCGCTCTTATGTAACTAATGGCGGCATAATCGAGTCCCAGGAATCCGATCGTAAACACGCTCGCTAACCCACTAAAACATATTTCTTTTATTTTGCAAAGCAGCTCGCCTTAGCCGTGTGCCGGCTGACTGCCATTTCACAAAACAGGTTCCTCTATATCGAATTCAACGTTAAATCCTTTTGGTTTCAGCTCACCTTTCCTGCATAGCTTTTGATATTCGGAGAATTGTTATTCAATATTTTCCCATATCCACGTATTCTCTTCCAAAGTGATTTTATTCACACTCTAAAGCGACATCTGTAAGTTGATTTTTGTTGTTTATTCCATTTATGTCATGATTAAAGATCAAAGTCAAATCGTGTATTGCAGATATATTTTTATACTCTAAGGAAATATTCTCGTCTTTGAATTCTAATGCTGTCGTAAACTGACATTATTATAAATGTTGCTCTTGCGCAGCAGACGCATGGGCGTCTTAAGAGCAATTTAACTGCCGGCGCCGCCGCCGCCCTGGCGCCATCTCTATCATTTTTTGTTGTTGTTATTTTCTTGATTGAATTCATATTATATCTGAGTCAATCCAATGAGGTAGTTATATTATTACTTACTATTCCGTTGTGAATCGCTGTTTGCATTACGAGTGGTGACAAAATCTGTTCTCAATATTTAGATAAGTTAGGAGCAAAAGCACAAAGTACTTTAATAAGTACAAATAACGTTATATATACATTATTTTTTTTGCCTTTTACCTGAGGGATACGGTGTGAAGATAGAGATACATGTTAACTATTGAAACTCACAGAAGCTTATCTTGTTAGTATATAAAGAACATTTGCTGTATTGTAGAGTTTTAAATTATGGGCACATTGTTGTCCCGACACGAATTCACATCAAGCCATCGTGTTTGCTTTGCGACGGTAATGAGCTGTTGTCCCGTACATTATAACAGTTCCTATATGGAACACTGAAATCAATAACCACCTGCACCTTAATAGAAAATGTCCATTACCTTAATAATACCTATGTATAAGCTGTTTACTTAATTTGAATTAATGATAAATAAACCGATTATGGATATTTCTAAAATACCAGCATGCAGTTTCTTGATATGTGTCTAATCTCTATTTATATGTGATTTAATGAATTAGAACTAATAAATTATTTCATTTTGATATTCTTTTAACGTAAATGACAAAGTTATGCAGAGAAGTCATGTAAGTAGCGGACTTTAGTGAATCGTACAAAGTAATAGTGCTACAAAATAAAGGCAAACAAATAACTGGTTGAGTTGAAGAGTTGGTTGGGTGCGTGCAGCTCGGTGGCTTAGCGACCCCCCGCTCCACGTTCTCCGGCGTGCCCTCGCTAGCTATACATATGGGTCGGACGGAGCAGCGTGCCGTCGCAATATCAGCCCGGTGAAATCGCTCGCCCGCCCGCCTCGTCGCACCGCACGCCTCGCCTGCGCCAGTCGCCGTGCGCCAACTGAAACGCGCGCACTGCTAGCGCAATCGAACGTACAATATCTCATACGAGTCTCTCGCTCTCTGGTAGCTGCTATCGCCATCGCCCCGATTCGCCTTCTATTACCGGCATCGGTCGATTCTTTAATATTATCCACTCCGAGTGGATATCGTTCAGTTCAAACGTATTAACGTATAACCTTTAACGTATTTCGTGTTTGTGAGAAGTGCATGTGCCGAGCTTCCTCTAATTTGTGTTTCGGTGTTATTCCAAGAAATCGTCAAGACGGCCGTCATCATACGGCTGCCTGCGGCCACAGTAAGTATCTCTTCGGCACATGACTCAATGTAAAATGGGACGATTCTTATCTACCGCGGCCGCTGTGTGTGTGCGTACCGACACCAAGTGGGCTAATGTGCGTGACATCCGACCGCGTCGACATGCCTGTGTGCGTAGTTGTTGGCTCAATACTCGGTTCTATTTTGTGGCGGGTAGGTGTTTGTTTTTATTATCATATGACCGGTTACTGCTGCAACTCTGATTACATTCAAACTGCACTCAATTTGTCCACTATACATTTGTCTTTATTGACATTCTTTTAAGGTACAGACTTTGCTAACTGTACACTGTTTTTAAATTACAAACTATTTCGTTATAAATATCGTAGAGTGAATAGTATCGAAATTATGGCACATGTTAGGTTTGCTTTTTCTATTAATTTAGTTCAATTCCGACGGTAACGCCTTAACTCTACAATACTATACTGAACAGTTTTAAATAAATACTATTATATCTATACAAAGGGTTGCTTACGAAAACATAAACACTGATAATAATGCCTAATAATTTTACAAATATTTTTTTATGTAATAACTTTTTACTTAAAATGAACTCAAAACAAGAAATTAACTTATATCAATTCCTTATGTACTAACTGTATTGTTATGTACTACTAATTAATGTCAAGGTTTTTAACAACAATAGCATAAGTGTCTATGTGGTAACGACGTGTTACCATGCTTGAGTGTTTTGGCAAACGCAGCCACGCTCAAGAGGTTGTGCAGCGAATTATCTTCATTTAGTGTTAAAAAAATCAAAATCATTTATTCAGTTTTAACTGTTACGAGCATTTGTGAAAGTAGAAATTCTATCCCATCCGTCTTAAATCTAAAGGAGGGAGACTCCTACTCATGCCTAGAAGAAACTGAGAAAAGACTGGATTTTTTGTCAGTCTTTTATTCATACAGATATATCGAATCAAAAATGACTTGATTAGACTATGAAATCGCTTCTCATCCCAATATAAAGTACTAACAAAAAATGTATAATAGTTAATTCTTCAATTGATTCATATGCCGTGGCAAAATAACTCATTGATATTAATTAAAATAAAGTTGTTTTTAGATTTCCAGAGTTATTTAGTTTTATAATTTCATCAACCTACAAAAGTAAAAAGGTTAGTTGGTGGGTTATCTTTCCTGATTAATTCTCACTTGAAAAGAAATATTAGGGACTGACTGTTTAATCTACCATACTGCCTCAAAAGTTTGAGGTATCAGTAATACAAGGGCTTCTTGGGAACTGAGCAGTGTATCTGATGTTTTTTACGTCTAAAATGTATTAAAGTGAGTATGAGAAAGATTCGTGAAACAGTTTCCAGATATTGGTACTGAATATCTCCAAATTAATCTACTTTGGTTGACTTCAATACTTTATGAAATCACTACACAATATTTTAGGAAAAATATGTAAACTATGACAGATGGTGCTACTTACGTCCTGTGGTGTGTCGCTGTCAATATTTCAAATCAGAATATTGTCTCATATGTTTATATAATTATGTTGATGATTGTGTTATAGGGTTTTGATTGTATTATCATTGTTAATAGTAACAATAACGATCTTAGGATCGCGATATGATAACACAACTTGATGTCTGGTGAATTATTACTTCAGATCCTGAAAATAATGTTTCTTAGTTTTTATTAGAGTTTTGTCTTGTGTGGTGTTTTGAACGACGGAAAATAGAAACTCTCCTTTCTATCCCCTTCTTATTGAATAACTTCTTATTAAAGTTATAAAATTTAAGCTATTAACATTTACATGTTAATAGCTTGTAAGTGTAATTCAGATGTTGTATTTCAACTATGTTCTCGCTTTGTAATTGTTGTTGCGATTTCTGAAAGGGGCCACTATCAACATTACGTATTATTTGCACTTAGATTATTTAATGTCGATATCACGATCTTCATGTTCAATTCAACAATGTCTCAACTGTTTGTAATGGGCTTTACCGTTTTGTGATTTATATTCAACATAATAAAAATTATACTGTCGGAGAAAACGGCGGCGTATCACACATTCCTCTTTTGTCGGTCGCTCATACAATTATACGTGTTACGTATAGCTAGGTAGGTGGGCCGTCATTATTTATGTTCTCTAACAGTCTGTTCAGTGGTGTGGGTTAAAATCGGAGCAGTCAGCTGATCGTCAATGTGTGTGTGTACGTTCTTCGGGAAACACCTTTCGATGACGTGTTTGAGCTACGTTTAATTGGACATTCACATTGTTCCCCCGTTTTTTTTGTATCATCAACTCGATTGATATGCTTCATTGACTATTAATATAATAATCACTTTTGTTGTGCCAAATTTTAATGGACTCGTTTTTTTATTGTTGCGTATTAGGGTTTTATTTATTGTTGATATTTTATGTTATTGTGGGAGATGTACTCGACTTATATCAAATGTCTTTCTTATTGATCGTGTTGTCATTAATCAGTGACAAAAGACGTGAAGTAAATTCTATGTCAAATTATTAATAACATTTTGCTTATATCTAAAACTAGAAAATCGAAAATAGATCCACAATCTATCACAAGCGTCCACTATAAGTGTATATTCAGACGTATAAACTGTCACTTATCCAATGTGAGTAACGATATATTGTATGTATGAAGGAAGTTCTTTTCAAACATCATTCAATATTGTTAAAATATTATCCATTGATACAGAGCTAATTAAACCAATGTGAAAATCTAATCAAAGTATAATTAGCTGGTTAGTCCCGTTGAAGCCCGTTTGATAGTACCTAGTTGTTTTGAATGTCTCGGCAAGTCTTTTTTGCTTTACCGTCGTTATTTTCTGGTTCGGGTGTCGATTACAATCGAACAATAGTAGAAGTTGCCGGGGAAAGTTGAGCTCGGGCACCCCGTCCCTCCCTCCTTACTCGTCACAAATAAATAAGCCAGTGTCGACATCCGACAACAATAATAATAATTCGCCGGGGCTTGATCAGCTGTTTCCCCGACACCGACCCGAGTAACAGGTGGTCTATAAAGACATTCAATAAAGTGTACCACTTGCCTCCGTGCGCAACCGTCTATTTTACACAAACACACACATCAGCAAATTTACTTATCAGACTACTCTAATACATAAATTTGGAACGCTTAATTATCCGCCGGTGGTTAGCCTTTCTTATAAAACACTAATAAAGATTTTTTTAAAGTCCTTATTAAACGAAATTGAGATTTTCTTATACTGATATGAAAATCTTAATTAAAGTTATTTTTATTTTTCTACACAGTTATGTTATACTTGTTTAACATGGTGACTGTTTCAAAGGTTATTATGTTGAGCACATTTGATGATTTAGGCTTCAAGTAAATAACAAAAAGTGAATACATAGTTGATGAAGACACTGGAATGGAACACGTCTAATAGGCAATCTAAATGAGAGAAGTTCTTCGAAAACTTTTAGCATGAAATCTTATCAAATGTGAATAGAATTCGTGTTGACAATTGTCTTTATGTGTTGGAAATCTACATCTAAATAGATATTGCTGTGGAATTATCAAGAAAATGATATATATACGCTAAGGTTACAGAATTTAGAAACAATCCCAAATCATACGACCAAGAAGGCCTCTACATCTGATATTTGTGATCTTCTATTCCTAAGTTGCTTTTCTAAATGATTGGAACTGTTTGTACATATAGGCGAGCTAACGAATGTATCGCTTTGGCAACCAACGTCGGCTGGTGCAGTCATCGTCGTTTTGAGTCGGTAGCAAGCAAACTCGCATTATTCGTTCTCGATAGCAGCACGCGTTCGATGACGAGCCGGTTATGTAATGTAAATGTTTATGTACCTACTCCACGTGCCTGCCACCACGTGCCCCAACTGAGAACACTAGCCTTGTGAATTATTTATTTACGACAACATTTTCGCACGCCGGTCGACGAACTCTTCAATGATCTTGAAACATATTTACTCCGATTAATCTCTTTTTATTTCGGATCACATTACTCTAGCTAGATTTACTCTATGATTTGTTATAGCTAATACTTGTGGAAATACTACTTCCAGAAATTCATCTTCAATTCTTTCTTTATTTTGTTATGAGATTTTATATACGTACATAAAGATTTAGAGGGTATGTATCTGTCTTTGATCCTTTCTTGAAACATAAAATAGAATCCACCAGCACGGGAAAAACAAAATGCGAAAAGCAAAATGCATAGGAATTTGTAGTACTAGCTAGCATTTATCACATTGTCTTGTGCGAACATTTGGAATAGGATTTTAACAGAAGGACTGTTGTCTAGAACAAAAATTTCGAAAATTCTTATAATTTAGTTAATCATACGCGTGAAGATTATCTGTGCATCAGATGCAGAGTCATGTGCTATCTCAGATGCATCAGAGTATCGAAAAAAAGTTTCATTTCGAGTGATATTAGCGTTTCCAAAATGACGAAATTTCGGTTTCGGTGAAACAGAACAGATAGACCTACTGATTTGTGTATTTGATTTTTGCAATCCAGGTTCATGAAAGTTCAGTCTCACTATATTAGTATCAAATTTAAAAAGAATTTCTCGAAAAGTCTAACCTGGTTAAAGTATGTACTGATATTGAATATAATACAAGTATTCTAAAGATTACATATAAAAAGAAATTTATAGTCGCAATGTTCATCCGGATCGACGATTGGATTTGCGGCTATTTAATAGAGTTTCAGAGGCAAGCCCATCAGCGTTATCTATTTATAGAGTTTGTCAGTAGTCAGAACGAATTCATGCCACTGACCTAGCTTACCGAATAAAACTTATCTGTGGCCATAATTTATTTGACGTTGAAACGTAGACTTTCAAGGTTATAGGTACATTGTTGTTTACTGATATTGGCTAGAAGGAATGTTTTGAAATTATTAGAAAAAAATTGAGTGATCGATCAGTTTCGTATTACGATAGTTAAAATTTTACAATAAAATTGTAAATCCCTAATGTAATTTGACATTATTTAAACAAAATGTTTATTATATGGCTATAAAAAATTTCAACAAACCGCCCATCTGAACTTGTAGACTTGCCGATTTAAAAACATTTTTAAAAAGGCTTTAATGAATTGGCTTTTGGACAAATAATTTTACTCGGTACAAAAATATTTGGAATACAGACAATTTTAGAATAGTAAATGGCGCTTTATGATTTACATACAATGTGCTATGACATATTTTTTTAATATGTCAGTTTGTGACTGATTTGTTTATTAATTGTAAATTGATGCAGATATATTTTGACAATTATTATGATGTCATGCGAATTAGTTTTGATAATGAAATAATTATTATTTAGTACTTTAAAATATTTCTATTTGGTTTATTAAACTGAAGAAAAAAATAATAAGAATTATATTAACAAATATAATAAAAACTTCTGAAGAATTAATGATGTGCTTAACAAAATAGTATGTACTAAGAATAATAATAATAAGTGCATGTTGAAATGACTATGTAAATTAATTATAAATGTATATCTTATGGAAATTATTGCGCACTGCCATACATTAAAATATGTGATACCCTTATTTTAATATTACCTTTGAACATCGTATTTTAGGAATATGAATGATTGATTGGTGTTAATATTTATTTTTTATTTGAGAGAAGAATGTTTAGAGGAATGTTCACATTCATTTCAGAACGATTTCGATTCGTCCCTCTTTATCAAAGGGTGGGTGTATTTAAATTGATCTAAGATCTGAAATACACATATTGAGGACAATGATAAAAAATACAAGAAAACAATATACGACTGAAAATTTCCCATTTCATTTTATGTGAATTTGGATTGAAATGGAAATACATTTCTTCCATAACATTAATGCACTCTTGGGGGTGGTTCATGAAGCAACTGACAATTCGAGAACTCACCAATACCGCGAATTTGTCTATACAATATGACCTGATGGTTAACTCTGCTGAAAATCTCCATCACTCTATAATCACAATTCAAATGATAAAACGAATATGCGAGCAACATGAATCTTGTGACTGCAGAGTTTTTGTGATCTTTACTTCATATTTGTGGACAATCATAATTCCCTTTAATTAAGCAAAATAGGTGTCTTTTCTTATTGCAGCACTTGGGCCAAATGCGGCCACTGATCTTTTCAATGTATTAACACCCTAATCAGTGTGATTCTATATTTGTAGACATACGTCAATTATCGTTTTTTGTACTTGCTTTATCAGTTAAGATTAAGTGCAAGTGCAGTCTTATCCGCTATGTAACAAGAGTATTACCTTTTTATTTATATTATAACAATCTAATTTACTTTTTCTTGATTATACGGCCAAACCTCTTAAGGTTTTGACTTTTTCATATTTTAGCTAAAAAATTAACTTACGTTAAAGCTGGTAGTTATTTCATGAAATGAAATAAATAGAGAGCAAGACACATAACTAACCTACATAAGTCGAAAAAAATCATAACTGGCGATGAAATTTTCTTATATTTCAAATTCAGGATTGTTATGGTGCACAAATACTGTATCTAGATGGATATAATCGCCCAGCATGTCCCGACAGCTTCCAACAATAATAATTAATTGACTCGTCCGTTCGTTATCGTGCTTTTATATTGACGTTCCCGAGTGAGCAAGCGAGCGAGGCGGCGTATTCGGAATGAAATTTTCATAAAAACTTTTGTGCTCTGGCGGACGTTGCGAGCGCACGTTAAAATCGTCGGCTGGCAATAAAACAGCGGCCGGTGCGGCGAGGCGCGACGAAGCTAGCAGTGAGTGCGATAGAGACAGGGCGAGAGATAATGGGCTCTATACGAAATGAAGAACGCGCTGGTGTGCCGAGCGAGCGAGTTGGAGCACAGCAAAAACAGCGCGGTTATCGCGCTCCCTCGTCCCGCGCCTCGCCTCGCCCCAGGGACCGGACTCGTCTGATCGACGCCGGAGCCTCTCGCATCGCAGCGAACTAACCTCGACAGCGGGGGGTCGTGAGTTGCCTTGTCGAGCTCGTTCGAACACTGAACGCACTACACAGCGCCCCCTTCTTTATACGATTCGATTTTAACTTCGAAAAGCTTAACACTTACGCGTTCGTTTGACAGTTTGCGTTGCCTGTTGTTGAATCTCAAGGTACTCCAATCACGTTTACCGTTGCGCGTTGCGTTAGAGTCGACATTGGTTTACGATCGTTGCACACAACCTTCTTTGAGACGGTATGTATATATACACTTATCATAAAGTATTTATCACGCTATCAGTACCGTCACCCGTATCAGTTTTTTCGCAGTATATGTAATCAATTATCTAGTAATATGACTTGCACGCCTGAGTTAAATTGATATTGCTAAAGAAGTTTATATATTATAGGAATTTTATAAGAAGTCATGCGCATAGTTTCATTATTTGTGGTATTTAGTAAGGTATTTATTTACGGGGGATACCTTGTGTTGTTTTATTCTGCGATTACCGTATACGATAAGACTGTACTATTAACTCGGGTTGCTATTGTTGGTCGGTAAGGTGGAGTCGAGGTCTCTGTGTCAAGGCATATTTTCATATGCTTTAAATATAATATAAGGACTTTGGAATCTTTTGTAAATATCATTACAGTAAAAATAAGCTCTTGACATTTTGGCTCATCATGATTTTAATGTCGGTGTTTGATTTGTGATTTTGAATCTTCAGCTAACCTCAAGTCTTTGTTTATATTCCTAAAACTTGTAAGATACGCGATACAAGAAAACTAGAATTAATACGTTTTGTAATACTGATTTATTTCAAATAAAATAATAGAACAATTTTTTTAAGGATTTGAATATGCAATCTGTTTGTGCACATCATCCAGTTGACGCATGTCCACAAGATAGATCACCGACAAACACATTTTGGATTGGGTATATTTAGCTATACTCATGTGGTGTTTTTATTCCGCGAAAAGGCATTTCCAACATTTTATATATTTCTTTGTGGTTTCTACTTTGACATATTTTATAAGTTTTTTCACCTACTTAACCGTATTGATAACAAAAGTCACATATTTGTTACAGGATCTGACCGGTCAAAACAGCAATGATTCGGGCGGCAGCGGCAGCGCGGGACGCGCTACCACGCCGCACTTGAGGCCTACGCCCAGTCCCACCGGCTCCAGTGGCTCGCGATCCATGTCACCAGCTGTCGGTAAGAAAATATTAAGCGTAAGATCTAAATTAAATAAGACTCGTATAGTCCTTTGATTATGGTATACTATGACAATACCAATCCAGTTTCTAGGTTGATGTCGTTTATAACAATAGATCCAAATATATGTAGTGAAAACATCCTGGAAGTACCCGCATTACACGTGAGAGCGTGCTGCGTTGGTTTTTAGTCTTATCTACGAATAAGATAGTTGATCAAAAAATCAAGTGTCTATTCCTTCTTTGTCTTGGTTCCGTGCTAGACTGCTTACAAGAATTAGTGAAACTTTAGAAACATTAATCTTCGATAAGAGCCCTAACTCTTAGAACATTCTAGAAGATAGACATTCTAGTTTATAACTAACTAGAGTTCGATAAGGGAAAAAGAAACCAATCAGATCCATAAAATTGTTAAATTTTAACAGAGTATAAAATCCTTTTCTTACAATAATTATGATGATCGATATTTCCACAAGCGTCTCGAGACAGAATATATGAGTATACTTATTGAGTGAGTATGTGTAAAAATATCGACTCATTGATTGATTTGACAAAATTACAAAGTAATGAAAAATAAATAGTCTACGAACAGATCTGGTATTTCGTCGTCCTAGTCTGCTCTAGATTGCCAATTTTAAGGAATATTTTCTCCTTTACATTACTTGCTTAAAGTTTTGACTTTTATTTGACCAATCTATCTATTTTTTACTCTCTCTATTCCATAAAATATAATAAATACGCATAAATTATCAACAGTAAAAAAGAATTAACATGAATGTGTTTTAGAATTCCCCTTTTTATATTGTAAAAAATTAACTTGCTAAGAATGGTCAATAAAACCCCGTCAATTATACTTTTTATAGCTACTGTTAAAAAAAGTCATGCGAATAAGTTTATTTTGAGCACATTTAGGTGGTCTGCACATTTTTTTTCTGCCAACAGCGTAGAATCACTCGTTAGGTAGTAGTTCTAGCACTAAAAGTTTACTACGACTAGTAGTTTAATGAAAAAGGATCCTAGCGTTTTAATGGCTAGGGAATCATTTGTTTTGTGAATATATATAGTTCGCCTGACAGTTATTTTAGGAGATTGTGGTACGCTACCTTAAAGCCCATATATGTGAAAGAACAGTGGTAGAGTCAACGTCAAGAGACGAAAAAAGATGGTCGAAAAAACTAACCCTGCCATAATGTGTTGTGCTAAATACGATTTGCAAAATTACTATGGTATGCTATCCGCTGACGTCACTGATATGAGAATTCAAAACACTGAGCAGATTTCGATAGATAGAGTTGTTGTAGTACCGAGTTATTTATCCGGTGGGACGCTAATGCGAATATTCACCTTATGTATCTTCGAATATGATGATGATGGTAGGGAATACCTAAAGTTGTAAAGTTTTCAATTTATGCGATTTTATGAGCAATATACTTCAATACCTCATGTGATGAAAAAGGATTTGCCCTCTTAAAGTCTAACGTGCTAACTGTTTTGGGATAATCAATCTTTGGAATTACTAATTTTTAAAACCAATGGTTTTGAATTCTTGTTGAAAAAAGTAATTTCCAACTGCTGTACAAGTTTTTTTTTAATAGTCCGTTGTCAATTTGCCTTAATAAGTACATAAATTTGCTTTTCAATATTTTCTGTATTTAAGATCTGGACAAACATATCGTAAGAAAATTAAATAATATGAGACTTTCCTCCTGTCTTACGAAACTAAGTAATTCCCGATAGCTCTACAATTTCTTAAATCGCACCTCGGCGATTTAGAATTTATTTTTCAGCATTTTCTGTATTGAAATTGAAAACAAGAATGAGGACAATTCAATTTGCTCAAATAAAAAACATGAAATGTTCATGAAATCTTTCTGTAAAAAAGATTATCACACAAAACTACTGACTGCCAGCTCTTGCTTTTTTCAGCAAGCGTACTTTTGAATTTTTACTGTATGAATTCTTCTCGATATTATGAAATGTCTGCTATATTGGTAACACCTGCTCTCTTTGGCATCAGTCGATGCCATGTAGCGATACGTTTCAGTACGAAATTTATAGCCGGTATCAGATTTTGAACCTTAATGCTTGGCAATACGAACTAGCCGGTTCTTTAGTGGGTTTTCGACAGTTTCTTTGTTTGGTCACGGGTATGTTGATCAGGTTCGTTGTGCATACTCCGTCACCGGCAGACACGGGCTTTCCCGACATTGACCCACATAGAGCGGGCGCCCAGAGTACGCCGTATTTTGCCCCTTTTGCGGGCGCAAGCCACCCCGCCGCCCACCTTATGTACGAGTCGGGGTGGTCGCGGTATATAGGGCCTCGTGAAAAACTTACCCCCTCCGTCGGGTGAGCACGCAAAACAGGACCTTTCACTTCGTAGCCCTAAGTACAGACAGGTCGGATTTACACATATAACCTGCCGTCTTCACACACATGCCACCCGACGTTCAAGGACGTTAGTAAAGAAACTACAAGTTTCCCAAATAATTTCTTTATAAATGCAATCCATTGAAATTGCGTGACAGAGTATAATAAGAGATACATCGTGCCGGGAACCCTTGGTCTCTTTTTATAAGTATTTATAATTCGATCTCATAATGTTTTTACTTATCTTCTTTTGACCTTGATCTCTCACCCGCTTGAGTATATATCTACTACTGAGACGAATCGTTTGATATCTAGATACTTATGTGTCTTCAGTTTTGCGTATATTTGATTCCAGAGTAATGTGCCTACCCACTACGAATTCATTCATAAATGCCTGAATAAATTATGAATTCGTTTCACTTCGTTGTTTTAGGTCCAATTGAAAAATGTTATATTTATACTGTTTATATTCTTTGATGATTATGACCGAAATATCCCGACATTTTTTCACTTTTATTATTCTTCTTTATCGTTTTCATTTATCACCATGTACATACATATTACACCATATAAGATAATTACAATATGTTTCATTTTTTATATCGACTTTTAACTTCTAACGAATAACTTACCCGAAACCTAAATAAGAATCTTTTGTAAAAATATTTTCATAGTGGAATAAGCAATAATTATAAATAATACAATGTCAGCTAGATTACCAAAAGCAGCCAATTGTATGAAATTGTACCTTCTACAGTTTCAATACGAATACCTTAAAAAATTATTTACTATAACGCAATAATAAACGTTGACCGCAAAGGCAATCGTGTTTTGTTAACGTCGGTCCACTGTCGAACGCGGCTTTCTCAAAACATCAGTCCGTATAAGTTGTAGAGTAGACCGGCTAAGCGACTGCGGCAGCACGAATACCGGTTATATGACCGCAATACACCCTCACTCAGTTCCACTGTTCACCACGCCACATTGCTCAATTCGCTTTCCAACGCTGCTTCGTTGCTCGCAACGACCTACCTGGTTACCTTCAACGACTTCGATGTATTTAACATTTACATTTCAACAACGTTCTTTGTAAGAATCACTAGTGGAAGGCTGACATGGTTGTATGACGTCAACCGTTCGGCTCGTCGGACTTTTAGACTCTGCAAACATGAAGTGAATACGTGAAGTTTCCACTTACAAAGTTGTAGACCAGCTATAAGGAATAAATGCCGGTAGGCATTTACAGCAATATTTTTAGAAATAATGAATGAATCTTTCGGCTTTGGTATTTGATTATAAATATACTGACGTAATTAGATTGCCGTGTTTAAAAGGTTCCACCTTATCGTCATTCTTTATTTAGCTTGCTTTTATTTATTTTTTTGGTTTTTCGTCTTAAATATGCTACTATTATTTGTAACTAATGTAGGTATCGATTTTTCGATTTGAATACAAAAATAAAACGTTTTTTATTGACCGCATCGTGCTCGTTTCCAATCCAAGCTCCATCGTTATTTTAACACAATGAAGCCGCAATACCGCAACCCGACGCGTTCGAAGGTGAATTGCGTATTGTTTGACGCCCGCATACAACGTGACTTTCGAAAACGACTTTAATTTTCGACCAATAAGGTTTCTTTTGCACGAAGTGTGCTTGTTTTAGCTGTTATTGGATTTGGAACCTTATACGTTTATAATTTAAGTGTACTGTAGTTAGAAATTCCTTGTGTTCTCGGTATAAGAACGCTAAAAGCGTTTCGCAGTCGTCCGTCGTGCGTATCGGCGACCAAGCTAAGGAATGCCATCAACTAAGATAAGGCTGGCACAGTCAAACGGCGTGGCTCTTACTGGCGAATTGCTATATTAGTACACTTATTTATAGGAAACATATCAATGACAGCCAGCTCCCAAATATTGTAAGTACTGCTATGCAATGTTTTAGTAAGTATTCAACGATTGCAGATTTTCCAGTCATGGAATGGTATTGTTGTAATTTTCACTCCTACAACAATTTCAAAAATATTATCACAATGTTTTATGGCTTAGCTTTAATTTACATTTAGCAAGGTAATAAATAGTTGGTAGTATTTTTTCAACCATCGTCGTACTTTAGGTTGCACAAAATCATTCGTGTATTAGGTATATCTACACATAATTATTATGTAGTAATGAAAACCGAATGCAAATGCGTTCCAAGAGACAGACAAGACGGAAGGATTCTGTTTCAGAATATGTAAATGATAGAAAGTGTTATAAATCACTTAACATTCTAAAAAGATACCAATTATGTCTCACAGTTGAGCTTGAAATCCGTCACAACATCAGTCAACTTTTTGTGACTTCATTCCATTTATAGCTACAGTTTAAATAATAAGGGGCAAAGAGGGATTATGTACATGAGGCGGCAGGTGTCTGTGTGCATTTCTCGTCACACAAACTGCCTATATGTAGCCACGTGCCGCAACGTCCTTGGCAAGGCCATCGACCTTCAACTTTAAATGAAAAAAAAAAAGTGGAAACAAAACGCTTTTTGCCCCGATCTCACCATAGTGTTTGTTTTGATCGTTTTCACGTAAACGATCCGACGTGGTTTGTTTGTGTGACTTATTTTTTGTACGGGAATCGATTGGG